CGTATTTTCAAAATTCGTGTTCTGCTTATTTAATTAGCTTAATTACGAGATTAAGTAAACACGTATTTTGGTAATCCGTGTTCCGTTCGTAATTAAGGGAACACGGATTTTGGTGATCCGTGTTCGTTGTAAAATTACAGTTACACGGATTTTCAGAATCCGTGTTTCTTTAAAACACGGATTGTGAAAATCCGTCCGTTTGATTTTTTTCCACAATTTTTTTTTTGTTTTATTTTATTCCACTTATTTTTTATTTTTTTTAAATAAATAAATGATTCTAATCAATACACTAATTACTTTAAAATTACAAAAATCATTTTAAATTTTTTAATTACTTGTAGTTGACCATATAATGTGTTGACTATTTAATGTGAGTAGATGTTATTGTTGTGGTTACATTTAAATTAACTTCTTTCGGAAAATAAAAAACATATTTGAAATTCCTAAATAAATAATACGTAATTCACAAAAAAAGATACATACCAAAATATACATTATATTCAATATGACAAATGTAATTTAAAAAATTTAAATATTTCAACTCATTTAATTGTAAATTTAACGAAAATTATTAATCATTATATGTATACAAATAACTCACAATATTTTATTTATATATTTGTGCAAATGCACATGTTAAATACTAGTTGTAGAGTAAATTTAGTGAACTGATTGGCAGGAAATAAATAATTTCAATATCCAAGTAGAAACGAAATCTATACCATCTATAATCTAACTAGTTAATAAATTAGACTCATCTCTAAACTAGTAGGCGGGTGATAAGTTAAGTTCTTTAAACTGCTAAACTGGTTGGACCAAAAAAAAAAAACTAGTAGGTCTGCTGAATTAGTGCGGCACCCATATGATGTACGAGCTAATTTTATTAATGTAAGCATTTAGATTTGGATGATTGGAAAAACGTAAAAACCATGTATTGGATTTAAATAAAACGCAACTTATATATTATTAAACCAAAATAAAATGTAACTTATATATAATTAAACAGAAAACAACGTGCCTAAATTTAGATATATATATTAGGATTCTAAATAGGTTTAAATAAATCAATTAAATTATTTAGCAGGATATATATGATATGATATGATTTATATTGATTACATGAAGATTGCATAACCAAATATACCGGAGATTGTAAGACGTATTTCTTGATAACCTATAGCCTTATTATTTCAAAGTTGTAAATTATTTAATTTAAAGAAGGAAAAAATTTGTGTACGTGTATGCAATCAGTTTCAATTTTGTATTCTATAAGATTAAACAAAACTCAAATTTTTAAGATGTTCCAATTCAATTTCTTTTTGAATTTCAAATTAATATTATTTAACTATGTTTTATGTTTAAAATAGGTTGTCTCTTTATATATGTATAAATATTATTTTAGTAAAGGTGATAAGACTATATATAATATGTTCACTCGCGTGGTCACGATGGTATATTATAATGTATTGAGGATGTGTTGTGAACCAGAAACACACATTAACTTTTTAGAAAGTTTATGGCAATGTTCTTTAGTCGGACCTGGTGTACCTAGAGTCGGGACTGGTCTGAGTAGGTATTTTGAACTAGTTAATAAGGAACCTAGTCAAGATCTGATCAACTCTGATGTGGTCGTCAGTAGCGGTTCATGAAAGGCCGGTCGTGATTCGGTCATCACATTTGTATGGAGAGAACCAACTAAGC